TAGTAGTAGTAGTAGTAGTAGTAGTAGTAGTAGTAGTAGTAGTAGTACGTGTAGTAGTAGTAGTAGTAGTAGTAGTAGTAGTAGTAGTAGTAGTAGTAGTAGTAGTAGTAGTACGTGTAGTAGAACGTGTAGTAGTGGTCGCGGTCGTCGTCGTCGTGGAGCGCGTGTTAGCACACCGAGAGCGGTGGTTGTAGTTGGCGTGTGTGCGTGTTCGCCAGAGAGTGTGCGGTACGCGACCGACCGTCAGTGTGTCCGTGTGTGCGTGCGTGCTCGCAACGTAATCGCCGAGCGTACAAACGATATACATGCGTATGCCCGCGCGCCCGTGTGTGTGCGCCTTACTCGTTCGCTCGTTCGACCTTCTCTCCTCTCCCGGCTCGAATAATATTAAGAAGAAGAAGAAGAAAAAAACGCACAACCGCCGGTCGTGCCCGGTTTAGTCGCTGACCGGCGTCGTAATTATCGTTACGTGTGCGGGTTCGACGGAAAATGCTTATCAGCCCCAGCGGCACGATTATTATCATTTCTGTTAATAACGACTCGTCCTCGTCCGGTAAGTAGTTGTTACGTTGCCGGCTACGGATTACAACGTTTTCGTTTTCCACCCGTGACACCGGGAAACGATTTAAATCCGTAATAACATATTTTGCAACACTACCGCCGCGTCCGTCGTCGCAGTGCGTCGGTGTTTTCGGAAAACCGTGTAAATTCTCGCGATCGGTGTTCCCTATTCTCTTCTCGTGCTCAACGGTTTTCCGACCGTTCGAACCGTGGTTTTTTGTTTTTCCTTTCCGGCGACGAAAGGATTCGAAACGTACGTGTGCGTGCGTGGTGGCTAAAAGTATACGTTTAACGCACAGCTGCGAAACACATCCCGGCTAACCTTGGATGTATTTGGACTGGTTTCCGGCTGTGCAAATTTTATGGCATCCGACCGCGTTTTTAAAAAATACAAAATTTCTTCCATTACAACTTACCAATGTTGTATCGGTGTCTCGATGGATTTACGTGTGTAACATGATGAGAACATGATGTACAACGTGTAAATCGTTTTCCGTCGAAATCATATTTCGTCGTCGTCAGTATCAGGTACGCCTGATACGGTTGATAGTTTTTTGAAAATATTTTAACGACCTCGCCGTGGAACTGCACTCGATTCATTAACGACACGACAGTGCTTCGCGAGAGCCCGCGCGCACCACGGTTGTTGTGCCGGACAAGTGTTGTATTCGGTTTCAGCTGCACGCTTTTTTTGGTATTTTTTTTTTTTTTTTTTTACCTCAAGGTCACCGCGGTGACGAATACCCCGTTTTGCACGTTGTTTATATACATATATATTGTTCCTCTTTCGTCAATTTAATTTAGTTTTTCGATTATTTTGTCTGCCAATTATGAATACCAGATAGAATACTAATATGGTGTTCGAACGTGCCGTTTTTTCCGTGCACTTTTCAATGACGCGAACGCGTCTATCTGTTTATTAGTACGCGCTTGAATCGCTCCAAAAGAATTCAATTGGATAGGATATTTTTTCTCCTCCGTTCGTATTGAATAATGATTACGATAAAAAAAATGCTTCGGGTGTAAAACGAACCGGACACCGTGAATTTATGCTGTTAATGCGTTAAACATACCTAAGTATATATATATAAATTGTATTTGCATCGACGGGATCATTATAATTTTATCTATATCCCATTATTCCGTGTACCCATAGAGCGTATTAATATTCCGATCATCGACGTAACGTTTAAATTGTTACGAGTGGTTATGCCGGCGTCGGAATAATGGCATGATATATCATTATGTTTATTAAACCATTAACCTTGTTCGAACAGCCGCACAATTCGGTGCATCCTTCATTAGTCACACAGCTCAACGGAAAAAAACTCATTACACGTTCGCGTTATCATCGGCGCGACGACAATGCGTTATCGTTCACGGAACGGAATACTATGCACTATGATAATTTATATTTTTGAACAGAAACGATCGGTTTGACGATTCCCTGACAGATTTATGATCGACAGATAAAAACAGATAGGTGTATGTACGTGTGTTCGACGACCGGTTGACGATTGTCTAATACGGTGAATGGTGGATTGTCAATTTTTATTTTACGGTGAATGGTGTACGCCGTCGTCGAAAAATATAAATAATAATCGCGTGCAAATTGGTACGCCGTTTTTGGTTTTCACCGATTCGCGGGCTACTAAACGAGTTTTAAATATATTACATACATTTTTCCGGAGTCGATTTGCGTCGCATTGTCCTTGAAGTGTTTTAAGTCGCATCAATGCGCCGCCCGTCGATGAATAAACAATAAAAATTGTGATGAGAAGTGTGCAAACAGCGAGCGTCTGTGAACACTGTGTGAACATATGTTCGTGCGTCTGTCCCAACGTGCTTGGAGTACAAAGGGCAGTAATCGGTTCTTATCCTAGGATAAATTAGTTCGATTATTAATTGTGGAGTACGAATAATGTATTGTAAATACACGATGCATTTGTAATAGTATTCGCAAAATAATCGCTACGCTTCCGAGAATACCGTTTCTAAGATAAGGTTCTTCGATTATTTCCACTCGCGTTATATTAATAATATTCTCAGCCAGCCGAACAAGCGTGTTTCGAGCCTATTGTTGTGTACACTTCGTCTTGTTGTAAACATTTTTTGTATTTTTTCTTTGATTTTTTGTTATTCGTTTAAGATGTACTCGGACCCTAGATAAGCGAACCGTTTCGTCGCGCATTGTTCATTTGTTCGAATCTATATATGTATGTGCATACAACAATTATCGGTGGCACGCACGTGTTCGACTTTTTTTCCGTTTCTATGTATATTGTTGGGCTTAACACTACTGTCTGTTCAGACTTGTATTTAATAATGGGATACACACACGCACACGCACACACATTCACACACGTACGTGTTTATAACGATATCAATATTGAATGAAATTAAATTTTATCATTTATCCGTTCACGTGAGTGTTTGTAGTATGCTAAGAGAATGCCAGCACTTGTAAATCATTGTGATTTGCGCTCTTTGTCGTGCACGCGCGTGTGCGTAATACGGTTAAGTTAATGTACTTATAACAAATAATGCACAGTGCGCTTTGGAGTAAATATAGCTTTCGGATAAATTTTTGTACTACGACGATAAACACTGTGTAGTTTTTCGTATTGTTCGGTCGTCTAGTTGTTCATTTCTGTTTTGAATGCTATTCTAGATGATGCGAGATAATATACGGAGGCCCCTGTCTGGTTCTATATTTATCGATACCCCATACAGTGGGTTTTTTAATATTGCTTTTTAACCTTCCTGTTTGGAATATTATAAGTTTATATTAGCAAAATATTTTTTTGAAATGTATGTATATAAATATATGTACTCTATCGGTGTGCAAGTGTCTTTTACCTCCGCCGCCACCGTTCCATTCTCCGTGCGTTTGTTCAAAAATCAACACCACTTCTACGTACGAGTAATTGCTTCCGGTATTCACTGGCTTCCTTCGAAGTTTATTATTATTACTATTGTATAGTTTGTCGCCCGCAGAGATACGCCCACGCCGACAATGCATGCACAATTCACGTTACAGAACATACGATATGTGTTTGAACAATAATTCTGTTTTCGGTATCGCCCACGACAATTACCGTTATGTTACGACAGCCTCGAAAATAAAATTCGATTCTAAACCATTTTAATAATGAACTATTGAACATGATTCGAAAAAGCTTGACTAATCATTATAGTATACTCGCTGCTGGGTCGATTCTATTGATTGACTATTCTTACCGAAATCTCATTCAGATGGCTTTACTTAAATATTGTTATTCACGTCCAATTTGATTTTGTAGCATAGATTTTTTTAATGTTGCTGAAAACCCTAAGTTTGGAGATTAATCAAAGCGTATCTCCACTTAACAAGTCCAAGTACATCTTTAGTTCTAAAATATTATACTCGGCGAATATAATACATATTACAGATACCTTTTATTAATAAGTCATTATATATGAAATATATTAGATTCGTTAACATAATAATACCAAATATTATTGATTATTTTCAGGCGTTTTTCAACGGTACCTGCAATGATTACTAGCGGTCTCGTGGTGGACGGCGTTAGCCACGGGCTTCAGGCCCATCTGCCTTACAACCACCAGGCCGTCGCCGCGGCCGTCCACAGCCACCGTATGTCTTACGTGGAACCGTCGGTGTACATGAAGTCTGTGGTGCCGCCACCACCTTCGCCGCAGCAGCAGCAACAGTCTTCTGACCCGCCGACTACACCGGAATTCCTGCGGCCATTGCCGAAACCAGCGCCAGTGAACCCTCTGAAGACGTCCCGGGTGTCGTCCAAGTACGCGGCCGACTGCCGCCCTGTCAACCTGACAGCCACCAAAGAACCGTTGCCGCCGCCCCCGCCACCGGTGGACCACCACCTTAGGTTGGACGACCGACACCATCCGTATCCCGTGTACGGACACCCACGGCTTTACGTAAGCGCGTCACCGTACCACCCGTACCCCATGCACCAACCACCAGCACCGTACGGCGTGTACACCAGCCCGTACGCATCTTTGATCCCGCGGGACACCAGACACCATCTAATGCAGCCGCCGCAGGATCAAAGGTACCCTAGCCCGCCTAGTAAGAATCTGAATGGTGGTGGCGTCGGTAGTCAGGCCAGTCCGTCGTCGTCGCCACCCGAACAGTTCAAAGTGCCCAATGGTCGAGACAATAAGCCACCTATTCAGCAACAGCAACAACGAATATTACCACCTCCGCCGTCGATTTCTTCGGTGGTCGTGCCTGCCATCAACAACAACAACAACAACAATAACAACAATAACAATAACAACAACAATAACAATATCATCGGATCCGCAGAGCCTTTGCCGAAAAAAATGCGACGCATCGCAGCCGAATCACCGCCTTCTACGCAAGCTACTAAAACGTCCAATTTCACCAAAGGTTCGCTAATACGGTTGGCCAATGGTAATATAAAAAAAGTCGAAGACATGAGAACCGAAGACTTTTTAAACTCCGTGGAGAACAGTGATTTGCACAAGATCGATCCTAGCACGGTTGTCAGAATCGAGCCCGTAACGGATTCAACGGTCAAAGGCAACATAAAGATCACACTCAGCTACGGCGACCAAAGAAATCAGGTAAGCATTACCCCTCCCCCATCCGACCATATGTAACTCGTAGTGGTAGTAATAATAGTATAGTAGTAGTAATGGTAGTAATAGTAGTTGTAGTAGTAGTAGTAGTAGTAATAGTAGTAGGTAGTAGTAATAGTATTTCCTCCCCACTCCGCCTGCCTATTGTTCTACACGAAACCGCACCGGGTCATCTCGTCACCGCGCGTTCGTGTACAGTAAACGACGTGTGTAAATGGACTCTTCTCGAAATCGGGTTTGGAGAAAGACCGCGCCGTGGTAGGAGCAGCGGGTAAGAGCAAGAGAACCATTAGTGCGGCGGTTTAGGAAAAAAAAAAATCAAACCTCGCCGCCGCGGTGAATACTATATACGTAATAATAATAATAATAACTTATGGAATGCAACCAAGACGATACGGGTTTTTTTTTTTTTTTCATTTTTTTTATCACGACTGACGATGCGCTGTGGGTGCAGTGGTGGTGGTAAGAGATGGGCATGAAATATGTTGCGACCTTGGGCGTCCACGAGAGGAACGCGACTGCAACGGCTTCGTCGGCCCCCGTTCGGCGTTGGAGAGTAAGTGACATTGTTCCAGACTGGTTCTAGTTCAAGAGGTGTGGAAAAACCCGGAGCTTGTGGAGGCGGCCATATTGCGTGGCACGAGTTGGTTCGTTTGTTGTTTGTGTGTGAGAATGTGTAAATGTTTAAATGTTTTATTATACCCAATACTCATTGAAATTACTTCTTGTCCGTCGTCGACGGCCGCATCGAGAGCAACGCGCGCGTGTAACATATTTTCGACCCGAGATTGGATGATACAATAATGATTTAAAATACAATTAGAAACGTTTTGCTTTTCAATAACAGTAAATTATATTATACGGCGGTGAGATCGATGTGCTGCGCCCGAATCGTGTTTCCCGGTTTGGTGGACGGTGCTTTTACAAAATGATTTTTACACTGGACGGCCAAGCGTGTGTTGCTCAACGCGTGCCCTCTGTTCGCAGACCAGTTACATGGTTCACGGTGTTGTGGGCGACGATGTAAAAATCGAAATCCACATTTTAACGCCGTTGTCGAAATTATCCATACCGTTTAGGTAAAATCATGATTAACACGCTTTTTGTGCGTATCACACTTTTGTAATGCGGAAAATTGAATATATCGTTTATGTAATATACGGCTAGGCGGGCGGGGCGAACACGTTTAAATTTTTGCAATTTTGTTCCTTGACCAGTGACAAATTTTGTGAAATCCATATATTCGTCCTACGATGGCAGCGGGCGGCGTAACGGCATAACATAGAAAACATTAATAATTTCAAATATTAATTGATAAGACGTTCGGTTAATCGTTTTTATTTTACTTTAATACTAAATCATTATCGCGATAGTAATACGTATTTCCGTTCGGTTTGGTAGTTATAATATAATTACATGAAATAAATCAGCCATTATTTGCTCGTTAACATAACAATACTTTCTATGAGAATCAAAATATAACCGGGGAAAGATGAGAAATTTGTGTTTATTTTTACTTGTCGGAAATAATATTGCGGAATATCTGGAAGTCACAAAGAATACATAAATTAATCAAAAAATCGAAAAAAGTATACCTTTCCCTACTGCTAAATTGTCTTGAAAAATCGTTCCATGTGAATGAAATATAAATTATTTTAATCTCACCGCCCGTGAATCGTCATGTATACTGAAACAATGTAGAAGAAAACAGACATGACATAACCTAACCAGGGCTCATAAGTTCATGCATTTGCATGTTATTTTTTGCTACATCGGAACATGTTAAGTGAAATACAAATCCGCATGTTTTTGCATGTTCTGTATGTATAGGCATATTTGAAATTTAGTTGATTTTTTTCGAATTATAAGTACATATTATTTTATGTAAATTCAACAAAATCATTTTTCATGAAATAAAAAAAAAAAATAGATTAATAAATGCTTGAATGCATTTTTATTTACTTTTCTGAACATGTTTACAAAATCTCAGAAATTTATCAGTATTTTTATTTTTGTATGACAAGTTTTATAAGTTAAAAACAGTACCACGGAAACAATGTTTTTGCGCACCGCTACCATTGACGTGTGCAATCTATTAATTTATTTTTGTAGCAACTTGTGTTCATTAATTATTATTTTAATTAAATGTAATCGAAAAAATAAAATATAACATTTAAAAACATGAATGTATAATTCTTATTATTTTAAAAAATGCTTATACATTTTTTTCGTGCATAGTTAAAGATTTTGAATGCATATTTTATCAAATGTTAGTGCATTATTTATTGCATGATTATTTATGCGTTTTTTAGTGCTTGAACTTACGATCCCTGAACATAACTATAAATTAGATCGTTTACCTGAATTCAAGAATGGAAAATAAACGTTAAAATAACAGATACCCATGTGACCGAAGTTATTTCGATCTTATTATCAAATAATTTAAATTGTAATATTTATCTCAAAATAATTAAAAATATAATACTAGTCAACTATTCATAGGCGCAATTTCAATAAAAAAAACTGAGGGTGCTTAAGCTCCGTATTTATTGGGTATTTAATTTATATTATTTTCATTTATATTTCATTACAGTTTTATACTCAAAAAGTCAAATGTCTGACATTATTTGAGGATGCTAGTTGTAAAATAGGGGGTGTAATACTTCCTAAACCCCCCCTATTTTCGCCTTTGCCACTATTACGTCCACTATTTTTAAATTAATGATATTGTTCGCGTCATACAAAATTATCAGATGTTTTTACGATTGCCCGTATGTGTTGTGTTGAAATGCTTTTAATTTAATTTTTATTGTTATTTTTTTTTTTTTAAGTCTGATAGCGTTTATTAGGTAAGATTATTATGTTATACTGGGTTCCCTTGGAAGCGCGATTCCCTGATGTTCTCATATTGTAATGTAAACGCAATAATTGCATTATCAATTCAACATTTGATATCCGCTAAACCCATAATCATATAAATAACCGCTGGGTATTGGTTTTTTAAAATCGTTTAAACTATGTATTTGTTAATCTTCGGTCGTACACGTGCAACGAATTACTCGAAAACTAAGTTTGCGCAGAACTCCGTTGCACAACATTTTGAATATTTATATTCTTTTGTCGCGTGGACTGTTGGAATACAGCCGTATTATAAACACTGCCATTATAAGCCACCGGCATCCATTTGAGTTTATCAACATGCTCTCGGTACTTTCTCGTTTCGCAGAATCGTTATGCTGAGAACTCGTATCATATTGCACGCTGTTTTATCATCAAAAAAGCGACGTGCAGCGCCCATTGTCGAGAATTCCTGTTAAGTAATCACGATTTGTTTTCCAGTAACTCGTTCTACGGTTCCAATTTAGATTAGGATTAATGCGGTAATAAAATCACAGTCGTGTAGACAATTGTGTATAAAGAAAATAATAAGTCCGCCCATTTTTTTTTTCGTACACTTCATTAGCGATTAAAAAAAAAAAAAAAAAAAAAAAACATATATATGTGTGTGTGTGTGTGCGCGTGTGTGGTGCGCGCGCGCGCGTATAATGTTGTATGTCCGTGTGTACGTGTACGACTCGCCGCGCACGTTTGGTTTTTTTCACAACAAAATATATTCGACTATATTACAATGACGACCTAGCCCCGATGGATGTACGGAGTAGCGCGGCGAGCGTCGTTCGACCGTGGATGGTTTGTACGCCGCGCGGCGGCGATAAATAAATCGAAGCTCCGAGCAGAGAACGCGCGCGCGTATTTTAAAATGCACACTATCCGGTTCAAAGAGCAAAACTAATATTTCCAACGTTGTATTTCGCTCGCAGTCCAACCGCGATGGCGCCGTCCGACGATCGCGTTTACCACGGTTACGCAACGCGATGTCTTTCCCGTTTAATAACGTTTCGGCGTCGCGCGCGTGCGCCCCTCGCTCTTTCGGACGTGCTTGCGCACTGCGCTAGGTGCCGTACTCGCCGCGCGCGCAGCCCATTAACAAAAACCCGTGTAAATTTCATTCAACAATTGAGTGATTACGAACTGCCGTTTTCGCAGTACTTGGTGGTTCTACGCGGCGGCGGCAACAGAATATGGACACGACATGAGTCGCGGACGAATAATAATTGTTACGCGTCGTTTTCTCCTCGCCGCGTCACTAACCCTATTCGATTTTTTGCTCCTCGCACGTGCGCGTCATCTCTCTCCTGCAACGTTTTTCTCGTCGCGTAGTCGTCTTGTATTTTGATTTTTTTTTTTTTTTTTTTATTGTTTCACTCCGCTCCCTAGCCAAACGAGTTATCCGAGGATATAAAATGATATGCCCCACAAAGGAAATAACGAGTGAGTGATAACTCGACGACGACGTGCCCGGTCGTCGTACCACTAGTTCATACTCACTACTACCACTCTCTACTACGAGTACTTCTCGGAGAAAGAAAAGATGATGATGCGATTAGGGAATAATAAAATAAAAAAGTAGATTTCAAACACAATGCCAAATAATGAACGTGTCGCCCCGTCACCGCTACTCTCTTCGGCCCCACCAGCACCGGGTGGAGGAGAATATTGTGTGTAGTGCGTGCGTGACCTTTTTCGTCTGAAGGTCGGAATGCAGACATCGATTGGGAATGCTAATACAGCCGTCCCTCCCCTTCTCCCCCACCGTTAGGCGAACGGCTCGAGTGCACCCGACGACGCGCATGTGCACCACAGACGTCGTGGGCATAGAGGGTGTCTCGTGACCCTTTCCTACACTACTACCACCGTGGACGGTGTGGTAAACTTTTTCTCCGTGTGTGTCCGTTTGTCTTTGTTTACTGAATGAACCGATCTCGCCTAAGGATAATCCGTTTATATACCTACATAAAATATTCATCTCGCGGTATTTAGCACTAGCAGGTACGACCTACTCGTGCGCATTGATTCCGACGCGAAATAAATTTCCAACACCCGCAGGGTCATAAATTCAAATCGATATTTACGTCGATCTAAAA